CGTGTTTCAAAAAGATTTTCGCGGAGACTGAGACGGCTGAAAGCGCACCCTGTTTCTTTTCTTTATTTTACAAAAGCACAATGTTTTGTAGATATTGTGAGTATACATGAATAAAAGTAGACCCTTTACAGATTCAAATGATGTACTACACTTACGTGTATGATCAAACATGACGACGCATTTTAAGTTCTTTTCACGGTTACCAGAAAAAAATGCAAGTGTCCCCGCCGGCGGGTCCGCCGACTCCTAAGGGTTAACAGCAAGGATGAAAATGATTATGAATGTTTTGAAGATTGCATGCAGCACTCATGCAAAAGCAGTAGAGGCAAACTTTAAGCTGATTTTTAAACATATACTAGATAATCTTGAAAAGGAATAATCATTAAAATTACAAAACTTGAGTCTTTTTCTATGTAAAACTCCCTGCGCTGTAATATCCATACTGAACTGCAGGTAAGAAAAAGCCTGATTCTAATCTAGCTGATTAGTGATGTAAGAATTGCATGTGCATAACATGTCAGTATTGCAGCCCTTTTTGTCCAGTATTGTCCAGCCCTTTAATATACTACAGCCAAATTTAGAATTCAGTAGAAAATACCCTGCCTTGTGTTGTGATGTCATTTGGCGCAGATACAAGTTTTTATGTCAGTGGAAGACCAACAGCTTGAAGTACTGCACCTTTGGTAATTTCTTGCAGTACCAAAAGCAAGTTGCCTGGTGCAGTGGAAAAGTGGCTTTTAGTCAATTGGTGAATTGGACAACTTTACAGCACTGTACATTTCGTACATGCTGTATGATGTGCTTTTCTAACAAATGAGATGCACACTATTCCTTGCGGCTATGGTGCTGTCCAAAGGCAGACGATAATGCTGTATGCTCCTGGAGTGTACCAACTATGCAACGTCTGCTATGCTCCATGCTTCTTCTGTTACTTCCGGGAGAAAGCTCGGGGGAATGGAAACTGCGGAGCATGCACAGAGAACCTAGGCCAGTTTGGATCTAACTGAACGTATACATGCAGGAGTAAATCGACTCCCAACCGCATTATCAGGGTATGTTAGTTTGACTTTGAGAAAGTTGACTTAATATGATTTCAGTCAGAATAACAAGTTTACAGTGGGCTGAAAAAGTATGACACCCTAGACAAATTTGAAATTTCCTGTAATATTCTTCTTTGAAAATGCATCTTTAGTTTCATACTGTTACATATAAATGAGGGCCTCTTGGACAATAAATTTTCATCTAAAAATCCTGAAAATCAAGTTATGCAACAACAAAACATATCAGTGAAATCTGCTGTTGAATAAGTATTTGACCCCTAATAGCTTGGAGACCGTATGATTGTTAACAATGCAATGAGGTTAATGAAAACAGGTGTGAACAATCAATCAATAAATCCTCTAGCTTGTTGACTGGTCCATAATTGATTATTTAGGGCAGTTCTTAGGAACATACAACTTAGAAATCAGTAATAAGTGTCTTATTTAGTGAAACCTCAAAAATTGACAAAAATCAAGACAAGATAACTTTCTAATGACTTGAGAACCACTGTGATTAAAAAGTTTAAAGATGGCAATGGTGCCAAGAAGACTGCCAAGCTCCTTAGCCTCAGTGTGTCCACTGTGAAGGCCATCATAGCGAAGTGGGAGACAACTGGAAGCATAATGAACTGGCCAAAGACAGGCCGCCCTGTTAAAATAAAGAAAATGTCAAAGAAACTAGTCAGAGAAGTAAGAGCAAATACTAAGGTGACTCTCAGTGACCTGCAAAGATCAGTATCTGTAGCTGGAGTGGATGTGCACATGAATATCGGTTTTGCACAGAGAGGGGTTGTATGGCTGGAAAAAAGCCACTACTAAAAAATATCACATGAAAGCTTGATTAGACTTCGCTAACATACATCTTGACAAGAGTCCTGCATCCTGGAGTTATGTACTTTGGTCTGATGAGACCAAAATTGAACTTTCTGGCCTCAACACAAAGACATTTGTCTGGCGGATGGAAGGGACTGCCAATGATCTGGCAAACACCATACCATCAAGCATGGTGGCAGGAGCATCATGCTTTGGCACTGCTTCCCTAGGACAGGAACTGGGTCCCCTGTCCATATTGAAGGAAGAATGGATGGAAAACCTTCAAACTTCAGCCATCAAATTGGGACTCGGATGATGCTACCAATTTCAGCAGGACAATATGTGCAAAATTAACCAAAGCATGGTTTGACAAAAAAAGATCCAGGTTTTGCAGTGGCCTAGCCATAGTCCGGATCTGAATCCGATTGAAAATTTGTGGTGTGATCTCAAAATTGCAGTTCACAGATGAAAGCCTTCAAACTTAGTCAAGTTGGAGCAGTTCTGCAAGGAAGAATGGAAAAAAATGCCTCCATCCAGATGTGTTAAGTTTGTAGATGGCTATCCAAAGCGATTGCAAGCAGTTATTGCCGCAAAGGGTGCTGCTACAAAGTATTGACTGTGTGTCATGTGAAGAGGTCAATTACTTTTTCAACAGCATTTTTCAAAACATGACTGTCAATTTGCATTTTTTAGTTCACCAAGCTCTAAATGTTTCAAAACATGTACACAGAAAAATAAAACTTCACTGTGATACTCTGCATTTGTGATTTTTATAGGTTGTAATGATGCAAAATGGAAATACAGTGGCTTTTCAGAGGGGGATCGAATACTTTTTCAAAAGTCCTGTTTTATTTGCACTAACACAATAATTCGATTTTTTTCACGACTGAAACATACTGACTGAAATCATTCTGTTCTAACCTACACCACATGCATTTCTTTCATAATTCTACAAGAATGTCAATAATATAAACAAGGTGTTAAAAATCTATCTGTATCCAACCTTTTACCCCTTCACTAGGCACAACACAGAGGACACTGAATGGAATGCCAGTCCATTGCAGGGCACAACCTCACACAAAAATTTAGAGATATCAATCACAATATTTTCAGAAAAATATGATGAACCATTCTGTTGATAAATCACTTTGTTCAGTGCAGTTGAATATAACTGCTGCTGGAGATCACATAGAGCACAGCAGCCACCAGAGTCAGGCCGGCATCAAGGGGACAGACATGACTGACCTTGTGTAAGGCTCACAGCTGCTCTTCAGCAGGGAGAGCAGAATAGGGTAGTTCTCATTGCTGCAGTTACTCTGGGCCTCATTGTACAGGTAGGACAAGAGTTTCACACCCTATAGGAGAGAGAAAAGATGAGGTATGACAAGGGTCGGTCCCATCAACACCAATTAATCCATCCATTTTCTATACCCGCTGGTCTTATGCAGGGTGGCAGGGGTCCAGAGCCTATCCTGGAAACAATGGGGGGAAATGCAGGGAATAACTCAGAATGGGGCTCCAACCCATCGCAGGGCACGCTCACACACCGTTCACTCACACATCCACATCTATGGAAAATCTGGTAACCCTAATTCACCCTGCATGTTTTGGACTATGGGGGAAACCAGAGTACCTAGAGGAAACCCCACAATGACACAGCAGGGCTCCAGACAAAGAAAAAACTTTAGGAGCCACTGGCTTCTAAACCCAAAATATTTAGGAGCCAAAATCTCCATCACATGCCACATGTGAAATCAATAAAAAATATTTACATGGCACATTTTGTCTCCGGTCTACCTCACACTGTCTTGTCTTTCTCCTATCAGAGTTGTCTGACCTGCCTGTTACTGTGTACTGTATTGTCTTATACATAATAACAGAAGAATAAATGACACAGAAATATCAACACTGCAAATGTTTACTAACAAGTAGGGCTGGAACGATTATTCGACGTAAAAGGTTTTGTAACTGCAATGCAAAGTGATAAGCTAAACGTATTGTAAGGGAAGGTACTTTATCCCCGTGGGAGCACGTTAACGCTGTAATTTTAAGAATTGTGCAATAAAACAGTCTGCTAATAACTGACCTTTACTGTCCACCTGATGATCTCTTCGCCACTCAAGAGCCACAATATTTTATTTATTGAACCTGCGGCATGGTTTTCATTTCCAATACAAAGTTATTCCGCTAATAAGCTGGCTAGTTGTTTCACTGCTGGCACCGTTAAAACTGTATCAATTATAGACTGAATTCCGATATAGTTTTGTCTAATATCGCCAGTGCTATCAGTGCCACACTATTTTGTAAGGTATACACTGGTCAATCATGTAGCACTTTTCTCATAAATATTAATAAGACATCTCCTACCACCCTGCACAAAGGAAATTTGCCGCCTGCCCCGCCCCCCACGCACGAGACAACATGCCTGCATCTACCAGCAGAGCTCCGGAGCCTCTGGAGAAACACGCTGCAAAAAAGGCTCACACGTGGTCTTCCAAAGTTTGGGAATACTTCATTCATACTACCTTTTCTGCACCTCTACTATAGCTGATGTTAATGACGCTGTTTCAGCCATTTTATATTTTCTGTTTACTTATTGTGTTGTACGAGTGACACAAATTATCGTTTACAACTACTCTTACACACTGTAGCCTAAATCATTCCATGCTCACTGCAGTAAGCTTACAAAAATAACGCATTTAACCCTCTGGAGTCAGCTATCCCGCCGGCGGGATATGACAGAAATTTTGCCAAACCATTTAAATAACTCTGCGAGTTTTTGTCATATACACATTTTAAAAACACCCTCAGAAACCTTGGACGGTCTACTTTTCAAATATATATCTCTCGGGTTGACCATCGTTTCCGAAGATGTCAAGGGTTGTGCTGTCTCTGTTGGTGGGCCTGAGTGTGGCTGATGAGGCCAATTCCTAATGTACACACTCGAGGACAGTGAGGGCATTGGAAGGAAGCAGCAGAGGTGGGGGGGCATTGCTTTCAAGGGTTTTCTGCATTCCCTGGCGTTGGTTATCTGCTCTCTTCTTCGAAGGCAATGTGGGCCACATGTGTTGTGCTGCACCACTTGATTCTGTCTGCAGCACATGCTTCAAGCTCATTTGCTGGAATGCCACAGTATTTTAGGCTGTCCTTGATACAGTCTTTGCAGTGCTTTTTTGGACGCCCTGTGTTTCTGTGGCCTTGAGTCAGGGCCCCATAGAAGACCTGGCGAGGAACGCGGGAGCTATCCATGCGGATCACGTGGCCTGTCCAACGCAGCTGTGCCTTGAGGATCATGGCCTCCACGCTGCAGAGGCCAGCTCAGCCGAGAACCTCCAGGTTGGTGACCCTGTTCTGCCATTTGATGCCCATGATGGATCGAAGAGCCCTCGTGTGGAAGCGTTCAAGCTGCTTCAGATGTCTTCTGTAAGGTGTCCAAGACTCACATCCATAAAGGAGGCTGGTGAGTACGACTGTCTGGTATACCTTGATCTTGGTGGTCAGCATAATGTTCTTGTGGTTCATCACACGAGAGCGCAAATGGCCCAGGGACTGACTGGCTTTGCTGATACGACCTGCTATCTTAGGAGATGATGCTCCCCAGGTACTTGAACTGATCGATGACCTTCAACTGAGTGCCGTCAATGCAGATCATGGGGGGAATGGCTGGGGATCCTGGAGCAGGTTGATGGAGGATGTCTGTCTTGTTGAGGCTGACGGTGAGGCCAAACAGATGAGCAGCTTCGGCGAACCTGTTGACAATGGTTTGGAGGTCAGACTCCGAGTGTGCCATGAGAGCACGGTCATCAACAAACAGGGCCTCAAGGATAAGCCGTTCGAGAGTCTTGGACTTGGCGTTCAGCCTACGGAGGTCGAAGAGTGAGCCATCTAATCTGTACTTCAGGTAGACACCATTCTTAAGGTCCCGCACAGCATGGTTGAGGACACAGGTGAAGAACAGGTTGAACAGGACCGGAGGTAGAACACAGCCCTGTTTGACGCCATTGGATATCGCAAATGGTTCCAAAGTGTCACCATTGGAGACGACTTGGCCCACCATACCATCATGGAAGAGACGGATGAGCTGGACGAACTTTCTGGGGCAGCCGAGCTTGGCGAGGATGGTCCACAGCGCTTCTCTGTTGACTGTGTCGAAGGCCTTTGTCAGATCAATGAAGACAGCGTAGAGGTCCATGTTCTGCTCAATGCATTTTTCCTGGACCTGTCTCACTGTGTAGACCATGTCAACAGTACTGCGTCCTGGTCTGAAACCACACTGTGCTTCTGGCAAATTGTCCTCTGATACAGCGCTGATAAGATGGTTCAGGAGGACTCGTGCAAGAATCTTGGTAGCAATGGAGAGCAGGGAGATGCCGCGATAGTTCCCACAGTCCGCCTTGTTGCCTTTGTGCTTGAACAGGGAAACAACAGTAGCATCTCTGAAGTCCTGTGGCATGGACTCCTCTTTCCAAATGCTGACTAGGATGTCGTGAAATGCTTTTATTGCTTCAGGGCCTGCTGCTCTGTAGAGATCAGCGGGGATGCCAGCCATGCCTGGCGCCTTGCCGCAGCTGGTCTGTCCAATGGCTTTCTTGACTTCATCCAAAGAAGGGGACAGGTCAAGGTGGGCAAGTTCTGATTTCTGCTCAACAGCATCAAGGGCCTCGGGGTCGACAGCAGAGGGCATGTTGAGGAGGTTAAAGAAATGCTCACGCCAGCGGTCAGTGATGCCTTCCCTGTCTTTCAGAAGTGTGGACCCATCGGCAGAGAGGAGTGGGGCGGTTGTGGGTCTGAGTGGCTCGTACACAGATTTTAGTGAACTGAAAAACTCTTTAGAGTTACACACTCGAGGACAGTGAGAGCATACCGCTGGACATCGTCAGCCTTGCGGTCCCAAAACCTGTCCTGCATGTTTCGGATCTCTCTTTGCGCCTTGTTCTGCAGGTGCTTGAAGCGGTCACGCTTCACTGAGGAGTTAATATTGTTCTGCCAATCAAGGAAAGCCTTTCGTTTCTCCTCCAGCAGCTTGCAAATCTCAGCATCGTTTTCATCAAACCTTGATGAACCTTGATGGGCTCGACTCTTTGGGCCTAGAACAGCCATGGCTGATTCAGTCATCATCTGCTTGTACTGGTTCCACTTGTTGGTTGGGTCACCAGTCAATGGTCCATGTGTAGTCAACATGGGGTCGAGGTGGGACTGGAACTGCTCCCGTACGTCTGGGCACTTGAGCTTGGACTTCATGCGATTTGATGCGGATGATGAGCACAGTCCTAAACAGATGGTGGTCCCAGTGACACGGACCTCACGTACATCCTGCCTGTGGACAATGACAGTCAATAATATGCCACTGCTTGGACCTTGGATGCATACATGTGGTCTTGTACTTGTTAGCTATCCTGAAGAGGGTGTTGGTGATTGTGAGACTGTTCTCTGCACACCTCGACAGGAGAAGCAACCCATTGCTGTTCATTTTCCCCACCCCATGGGCACCTAGCACTACCTCCCAGCTTTCACGGTCACGTCCAACTCAGGCATTGAAGTCACAGAGTATGATCAGCTTGTCACTTGCCAGTGTCCTTCACAAGGGGAATTCAGGCTCTCATAGAACGCTTCC